TTTTATGGTCCATTTTACATGCCAAATGCGATTATGTGGGTCAGGCAGCCTTTGGGGCCAGTTAAGATAATGTTCTGGTGAAGATCAGGTCAAGGTCAGGTCAAATAAGGTCAAATTTCAAAGTTGATATTTTTGCATAAAATGAGTATCGATTCGATGCAGCTCGTCACGGGGTGGTGTTCTTTGTTTTGCGCTAAGTGGTCTAGAATTGCTAAAATATTGGGTTCACAGATTTGACGTCATCAATTTTGAACAGTTTTTTTTTCGCTTTAACATGGCAAAAAAGGAGGTATTGATCTAAAATTCAGTATGTAGGTAAAGGTCCACAACTAGAAATTGACACAAAGTTTGGCAGTTTGTATCTCCAGAACGGAGAAACCAATGAGGATGAAATTTGGTCTCGAGCTAAATAAAAATGTTCTTATTTTAGATCGTTGAACTTTTTCATTCTTACTGAAACCATGAATTCGTTAGATGGTCTGAACGAAAATGACCGCCGAAAGGTCATTGGCCAGTTTTACATGGAAAACTGGGCGAAGGGCAAACCATATACTGTAAAACATTTTTCTGTGATGAATGTACCGAGAAAAACAACCTACCGGGTAATTTCGAAGTGTGATGAAGGTAGGGCATTGACCCGAAAACCTGGGAGTGGCCGGCCAGCGGTCAAAATGCCCACACAAAAAGTTAAAGTCCTGAAGAAGTACATGAACGAGAGAATCGGGAGGTCGCAGGCACGTGCGGCAGCCAAATTCAATGTCACCCAACAGTAGGGGAGAGTGGGGCACATTCGTGCATGGGGCACATTCGTTTTCAGCAGTTTATGGGAACACGAGTGACTGCACGAGCTCAAGGTAAATTATGGAAATATGTCTATCATTGCCGCCCTTCGTTCACCGTAGAAGACAACACTGTACCTGCTGTCATGCTTGATAAAAACGCAAATTTGTAATATTCCTGAGCTTTCCAAACTTTTCTCATATCATCCATTTTCGTGATCCTGACTCGGAAATGTGGTTCAGCTTTTCAAAATTGGGGGTGAAGAAGCCCACTCTATTCACGGAACTGCTGCAAACTTGTTTGTTGAAAAAGTGTCATTTTTTTCAAAAAGAAATTTTGAAATATATTACTAATAACGTTGTGGGGCAGGTTCGTGTACGCACTGCCTGGGGGCACATTCGTGCATATTTTTTTTAGTTTTTGCGATTTATGACTTTATCTGTAGTAGGTTTCTCTAATGACGTTCGCCTGACTCAGTCTCGACTGCTTGCGACGTCGTGACGAGCAATTCACGCGAACTTGGCGAGGTCACGGAGGCCGGCAGTTGGCACATTCTTGTTGGCCAGCCCATTCTTTCTACATTTGTTGTGCAATGCATTCTTGTCGAAAGGAATCAAGTGAAATGACCCCCTGCCAATTTCCTTTGGTAAATTTCTTGTAATGCCCGGTAATTTCTCGAATTTTGCCGGGTGAACGGAAGTGCCCCATCTCTTGAACGAATGTGCCCCATAGGTGGGGCAGTTTCGTGCAAATGTTCAGAGTTAATAAAAGTCATTTTTTCTAATGGAAGCAATAATTTTATAGGATAACTTTTAAAGAGGAAAACTATCTGCAATAGTTCCTTTCCATACTACAATCAACAATTTTGCCATTGCACTAACCAAAGAACAGATATATGGGTTTATCCATTTTTTGCACGAATGTGCCCCACTCTCCCCTATGTGTCTAAAATACTGTCGTCTAAGACACCACTGAAGTATCGACGCCGGGAAAAAACGTCGGGAGCCTCGGAAGCCCAGAAAGAAAAGCAAAAAACAAGATGTCGCAAGCTCAGGATGGGTGACCTGAAGCCATCAGAAAATACAGTCATTGTCATGGACGACGAAAGTTATTTTCCGTTTCACTGCCCGGAAGTCCAAGCAAATAGAGGTTATTATACGGAAAACAAAGAAAATACCGCACCAGAAGTCAGATATCAACGTAAGGAGAAGTACCCAAAGAAGGTGATGGTTTGGGTGGCCATTTCCACCGCTGGGATCAGCCAAAGTTTCATGGCATACAAGAGTGCCATGAATGGTGAAACATACCGTAAGCAGTGCCTTCCTCGGTTAAAGGCCTTCGTTGAGAAACACCATGCTAAAGAAAACGTGATCTTTTGGCCAGATTTGGCCTCAGCCCATTACGAAAAGTCCGTCCTGGAAGAGCTGAAGAGGCTTCATATAAAGGTCGTTAAACGAGACGACAACCCACCTGCAGTGCCTCAACTCCGACCAATAGAAAAGTTTTGGGCTTTGCTGAAGGCATCAGTATACAAGGACGGCTGGCAGGCAGAAAATGAACAGGAACTCCAGTCACGAATCGTCAAAAAGCTGAAGGAAGTTCCTGCAGAAGTGTGCCAGAGGCTGATGGCACAGGTGAAGACAAACGTCCGCCGTGTGTCTGACGAAGGCCACCAGGCGCTCCTGCGGCTCTAGGTCTAGTAGAGGACAGTGCACCGAGTGTGTTGGTGTGATTTTCATATCTCTGAGTCGCTCAGTATGCAAAATACAAGCTCCTGCATTTTGTGTCAATTTTTAGTTGTGGACCTTTAGAAAAGCGCAGGCACTATTACATATATTCCGGCTTTTTCGAAATTTGAAAAAAACTCTTAGGATTTTTTTACGTTTTAAAAAATCATCTTTTTCAATTTTTGGGGGTTAAAATCCCGAAATTTTGAAAATCCGAGATAACAGTTTTGTAGCGCCGTCTTTTCTCTATATGACCGTATAAAGAACTTTGAAATTGCTTGTTAACTGTAGCTTTTGTGAGCGTTTGAAGATGTCATGTTTTTTGCTCATTTTTACTCAAACATGACCTCGGTTTGACCTCAATAACTCCTGACCTAAGGTGACCTAAGACTTGAAATTTTGTGCGAAGGTGGTAAATTGATGCCCGGGAAGGTACTGAAAATTTGGTGGCGTTGCTGTTCAGTAAAAACCACAGGGGGGCAATTTGGCCCCCCTCCCCAACGGGCGAGGGTTAACGTTTACCTAGGTATGCTTCATTTTGCATCAGCTTATTAAATTTTGGGAGACTGATCAAGACACCTTTGGGATGAAAGATACCAAGCGTTTTAGGTAAATCATCCATGCTTAGTAAATTTCCACAGCCCATGATTTGATGATGTTAAATGATAAGCCCTGCAAAATGATTATCTAGCCTCTCATTACCTTTGAAAATTTGGAGCAAACTTTGCAACAACAACAATAACCAGTTTGCATTTTTGTGGTAGTTCCATTCTCTAAAATTCATGTAATCAAATTTTGAGATAATATAGGAATTTGGTAAAGATCAATGAGAGCTATGCTGATGACTATTTTAGAAAATGTTCGCTTATTTTTGCACGACCATAGTTAAATTAAATAATCCAATCACACACCTCAAAAATTGAGGAAAACTTTCTAGTCAATAGAGCACTATAAAAAGAAACAAATTTCGATCAGACTGTCCAAGCACTGAAACAGGCGGACGTCTGTTTTATATCAACAGCCAGCCAAAGAAATATGAATAAATGAATGAATGCATAAAAATAAACAAATTCAATCTGACCTTATCCCAAGGAGGCTCTAAACTTGACCTATTTGCCGTCGGTTAAAACTGCAGTGGACGACTTACGCAAATACAATGCACCCTCTGAGTACCATGACTTATGAACTATGCATGTGCCCACGGTGACTATAAATACATGTGCCATACTCTCCTATTCAACAGCTGTACTGTGATGACCTTTGGTGACCTGGCCATGGCCTTTGTGTTCATGTGGCGCCTCAAATAAGTACGACACTTGGTCTTCTAAGTACACAGATGCATTCCGGCTGCTGAACATGTCAGCCAACTCTTCGGCGTCCGATCTCGGTAGCTGTCAGCTGACCTTGCCTTTGAAATGTTGAAATGTTGAAATGCTGCAGTGCTGTATGTTGAAACTTGTAATTTGAGCATTTGACTTGTCGCCCTTGTTCTGACTTGTAATTACTTTCGCAACAATTGGGGATTTTAAATTTCGCCTAGTGAGTTGTAATTATTTATTCATTTATTTATTTATTTATTTTATCTAACTTTGAATAGATTATATATGTTCCAGAGTGCGCTCGTCCGGGTACCCAGTGCTGTTAATAAATGCACATTAGCGTCAGTTTTTCTCCATTCTGCTGCCAAAGTGAAAATTGACAGCAATGGATGGAGCAATGGACAGCAATGGAAAATTGACAGGATGGATAAATGCGTGTAACACCTTTGCACTTGTTAATTTGTTGCTAATAAACAATAAATTAATCTGGCCAGCATTTCCGGGTCAAGATGGACGGCAATGTATTCACGCAAAATTATTTCGCTGAGTCTTTGGGGCGGCTAAGGGAGGATCAACTTCGGGGCATTTACTTACGCCCAATTCAATAACAGGATTGATGGATTAATCCCAACCACCAACTCAGGTAGTTGGGAGCATCATTACAAATCCATCGGCGTCCGGCGGTGCTGGTCTCGGACCGGCCATCGGGCCGCGGGGTGAGCGCTTTTTTCCTGGGGCAGTCTCATGCTGGGTGCCTCAGGTCTGCTGTCGGGTTCCTATTGCGCTTTACAGGCTGTGAAAGAGGCTGTGAACGACTCGCGATAGCCATCCATTGCCAGCTTTGTGGCATTGACTGAGTGCATCAATTATGGAAGTTCACATCAGTGCATCAACGGCACGACTGCGCTGTGATATTGATTCCCCCACAAATTGTGGCAGAGGACCGCTCTGTAGGTATGTTCAGCCACTGAAGCGCACCACCGGGTTTCATTGCAGGCCGGCGCCGCCTCTGGAGCCCGGTGCGTGGGCGGCCGGCAGTCTGCGGCGCGGCCGCACCTGACCGTCGCTCGCGCCGGCACATCGATCTGCCCGCTCGTCGGCCGGCCGGCCGACAATCGATGCCGCCGGGCCGGGCCGGGCCGGGCCGGCCGGCCGCCGACAGTGCAGGGCCGCCATGGCCGCCGACCGGCCGCGCATCAGTGTGACCGCCTGGGGCGGCGGCCAGTCGCCGCCGGCAGAGGCGCGGCTGGCCTCTGAGCTGGCGCGGCTGGGCTTCGGCGGCGCGCCGGCTGCCGGGCCCGCTGCCGGCCGGCTGCAGGTGCCGCGCGCCGGCCGCCCGCCCGCCGCCGGGCCGCCGGGCCTCTGGTGCGACGAGGCCGAGCTGATCCACTCGTGTGCGCTGCTCAGCCGCCTGCTGGGCATGCCCAAGAGCTTCAGCACTGGCGACATGGCGCAGCTGCCGGAGGAGGCGGCGCCGCGGCGCGCTGTCAGCCTGACCACGCTCCAGGAGCGGCCCGAGCTGGCGCAGCCGGCCCTCGAGCCGGCCAGCCGCTCGTGCAGCACGTGGGTGGCCGTGGGCGACCTGGGCACCAGCTCCCAGCTGCCGTCGCCGCAGAGCCGCCAGAGCGTCAGCCACGCGCCCTTCTCCGCCGCCGACCTGGTGCGCGCCGTAAACAAGAAGGTATGCCCCGAATTCTCCCCGCCCGTCGGCTGCCGGCCGCCCCTTCCTCGCCCTCTTCGCCTCACCCAGTAGACCGGTGTCAGCTTCCCAAATGGATGATGATCGCTGGGGATCAAGATCAAGGTCAGGCTTTCCCTTTCGGTGTGTTTCCCGGTGCGGACCCCTGCCGGGCGGATTCCGGTGCTCCCCATCCCCGGCCCGCCGAGCGCCCTCGGCTCAAAACAGCCGCCGTACCGTGGGAGGCTCAGTGCGCCGCCGTCGGTCCGACTGACGCCGGTGACGTCTCAATGACGCCCGCCGGCAGCCTGTTGCTGCCCCGCCGGGCCGGCCGCCGCACCCTTTCATAGCGCTAATTATGAGCCGCGTCGGCGCTAGGTTGTTTGTGCCAGGAGGTGGCGATATTGGGCTGGCTCACACACCAGGCGAGAGGTGCCGATATTGGACCGACTCACACACACACCAGGCGACGGCAGGCTGTCGGGCGGGGCTCATAATGTGCACTGTGTACATACACTGCAGCGTTTGCTGATGCTGTACAGCCAGTACTTAACGTTTGATTAAGAATTATCGCATTATTATTCACGTTATTTCCGTAAACTCTTGAAAGCCTGATAGGCGATAATGCTCACCCGCAAAATAGGGGGTTGTGAACATCATGTCTGCTCGGCAAATTCAATATTCCTGATCTCAATGTGAATTGCATGTAATTTGACTCCTTTATAAGGTATATAAGGTATAAGGTTTCTCTGCAAAGGTATAGAGAAATTCGGGCGGTTGTAAAACAGGCATACAAAGAAGCAGAGTCCAATTACAAAAGTAGGCTTGGGTCGCTCTTGAAAGAAGACAATAGACATTTTTGGAAGTATGTTAAAGCAAAAAGGACTAAAAAAACGGGCATTACCTCTATTGTATCCGAGAGTGGGAACATTGTCCACAACCCGGAGGATATAGCAAATATTCTTAACAATCAATACAAAGGGATATTTTGTGAGGAAGATGATACAGATACAACATCATTGAGCGATTGCACTCGCACGTCGGAGGTTATGCCGCCGGTTCTTATTAGTTATCATGGCATCGTAGGCCTCTTACAAAATATTAAGGTCCACAAAGCGTGTGGCCCTGATGGCATTAGCGGGGCTATTCTAAAACATTGCGCAAAAGTGGTCGCAATGTACCTCAAAATGATTTTCGAACAGTCTCTTGATATGAAAGACATTCCTCACGATTGGCGTCAAGCCACAGTGCACCCAGCTTTCAAAGGGGGCAGTACCAAAGAACCTGTAAATTATCGTCCAATTTCGCTCACATGTATATGTTGTAAAATGATGGAGCGTATTTTAGTTTCCCATATTGTGATGCACCTAGATGATTTTGACCTATTCTCTGATAGTCAGCATGGATTCAGAAGACATCTTTCTTGTGAGTCACAACTGTTACTGCTTTATCAGGATATTATGTCATCCATTGACAAGAAAAAGAGTGTTGATTTGGCATTCATTGACTTCAGTAAGGCGTTTGATAGGGTTCCACATAAACATCTCTTAACTAAACTAAAAATGTATAATTTAGATGATAACGTTCTTGGCTGGATTGAAGCCTTCTTATATAATAGAACGCAGAGAGTTCTGGTTAATAATTGTTATTCTGATGTGATTAGAGTTACGTCCGGTGTCCCACAAGGGAGTGTATTGGGTCCAATATTATTTCTTTTATATATTAACGATCTTCCGGATATGATTAATTGTCAGATAAAATTATATGCAGATGATGTTGTTCTTTACACAGACATCTTAAGCAATGAAGAATGTAGTTTTTCGTTACAGGCAAATATAAATAGATTATCTCAATGGTGTTCCAAATGGAAAATGTCTATTAATGTTGGAAAGTGTGCTATCATGAGAATGACAAAGCAAAAACTTGCTGCAATGCCTAGATACTTTTTGAATGGAATAGAAGTTCAGGTTGTCAATGAGTTCAAATATTTAGGCGTGCATATTTCGAATAAATGTACCTGGCAAAATCATGTACAACATGTCACTGGTAAAGCGAATCAGATGCTACGATTTATTAAGCGAAATTTCAAGGATTGCCCACAGGCTGTAAAGGAAATCATGTATTTGTCCCTTGTTAGGCCACATCTAGACTATGCCAGCTCTTTTGGGACCCATGGGGAGAGGGCATGAAGCATGAGCTGGAAATGGTTCAAAGGCGTGCTGCTAGATTTATACTTAATGACTACGACCGACATAGCAGTGTTACTGACATGCTGGCCACAATAGGATGGGTATCCCTAGAGAGCCGACGTAGAGAGGCGAGATTATGCTTACTGTACAACTTACACCATGGCAACATGAAAGTAGATGTTAGTAGAATTATATGTGAACCTAGCTATATATCACGGAGTGATCACCCTAAAAAGATAGAGAGACTTCCGTCGAGATTACTTCAGTACCATAACTCGTTTTTCCCAAAAACCATAAGAGAGTGGAACCAACTTTTGCCCAGCATGATGGAAGCCGAATCTGTGGAAGATTTTCGGAAAAACGTTCAAACACATGTAAATTCGGCGTAAACGTGATTGTAATTGAAATTGCTCATGAGTAATGCAGAATGAATCAATCTAAAATCAGTAGTAATGTGAGTCGGTATCTACTTGTGTGTATGTACTTGTGTGTATGTGCGATACTGATGTGTGCATGATGTGTGAACCAGATTTAACATCACCAGGGCCAACCGGCATTCGTGATTGTTGTAATACATGATACATAACATACCAAAAAGCCAGAATTATAACGTTCTTGAGATGTGAAAGCGGTAGGGGAAAGTGGGGTAAGACGGTCAGGGTAGGTAAGACGGGCACCCCTTCTGCAGACCAAACCAATAGCGCTACGAGCAAGAAAAGTTAGGACCAGAATTGCCTTTCCCACTACACACCACCATTCAAGTCTGGTGAATTTGTGTTCAGTCGATAATCTTTTATTTTGATTTCTTTAAAACACTCATTTCATTGAAAACATCCATAATGTATTGTGCAAGCTTTTGTGTACAGCACTATAGAGTTAAAAACTCGCAATCACTTGTGGTACACTCATATGCCAACAGTGTTCATTTACGGCGGATTTGCTTTGTCTGCATCAAATTGTCCACAGCGAAAAATCGTGCTGAACTTCTGACATTGAGTTTGGGGTAAGACGGGCAACTATGAACCCAATGGGTCTGTAATGGTGAAAATATTTTTGTTGCTGTAGGAAAAAAGAAGCATTTCTAATAAGAATATGTTCGATTCCGATACTCACAGACATGTTAGCAATATTCCTTCGGCACAGTTTATTCTCGAATAATGAATGTGAAAAACGGTTCTACATGGCTTCTGAACTAGGGCCTATATAGGAGCATACGCCTTCTGCACGAATCTCGTATACTGCCATTTCCGAAGCACTTGAGACCAACGAGCGACTGTATAAATGCGGCTAATCTCGGGCATTTGTTGCGAGCTGCGCTGATCGGTGAAAGAAGCTGGCCGTCTTGCCCTACCCATGTGACCGTCTTACCCCATGGGGTGGGGTAAGACGGGTTTTTGCAAGGTTTTGCAAAAATAGCTGCAGTTTATTTGTTGAATCAGGTCTAAGTCTCATCTTCTGGCAAATGAAAGTAAAATGTCTGAAAAAGGTTTTCACCCAGTTTCCCGTTTCTATGATGTTTCTAACCGGCCGAAAAATGGCTCCAAAGTTAAGGTGCCCGTCTTACCCCACTTTCCCCTACCCTGCACGTGAGCATGTGCAAACTGGGTCCCCACTGACTTTTGCACGGCAGTCGGCACCCTACTCACCGATCTCTCGTGCCCAAATTTGAGCGCAATCGGCCCAGTCGTTCTCGAGATCTGGAAGTGCATGTGCGCACGTGCATTTATATTTTAATATTCATAGAAATACCTATAATAATTATTAGTGATATTCTACGCAATGCTTTAACGTGAATCGCCACACTCCCCTGGGTCTTCCAATCCCCTTATTTATATATTTATACCATTCGGGGCAATGTCAGCGGCAGAAGCTACCGACAGCAGCGCCTAAAGAAAACGGTCCTGCCACATTATCGCTATCCGAGGAAAGCATACGTGATCTGGTCAGACCTCACTGCAGCTTCCTCGGCGCATGAAAGCCAAATAGTTATAGTGCGTTTGGAGTTTAATTTGAGAAGCAAATTTAGAAAAGGACATGTACAGCCCTCTGCAGACTGCGTGGTAGGTATCCTTTTTTTCGACAAAACCGAGAATAACGCGAATACTATGCTATCGGGCACTCGGAAATCGTAACAGAAAGATGTGCGAGACTCCGCAGCTTAGATTGGCATTATCATCGTATGCATTTTCCATCCAGTTTGGCAACAAAACCCAAAAGTTTATATTTGCCCCCAAAACGAACTTAAACATTTTGTTGCCACACAAGGCGTAGGTATGCTTTGTTTATTGATAGGCCCTATCGAAGGAGTGGAGCATGGCGCATCTATTTGCAGTGAGCTTCGACCGACTGATAACATGCAGACTTTTGAATTATAATCAGTTTTGTCGGAAAAAGAATACCTACCACGCAGTCTGCTGAGGGCTGTACCTATGATACGGCGTTGAGTCTAATGGCTGAAACAGACTCTTTCCGCAGTTAGGAAATCGCATGCGAGAGCCTATTCAAATACATGGAAGCGCGCTGGCATCAATCGCGCGCACCTCCCGGATGCGATTGATTTTTATTCTATTGCTTTTTATTTAGCAATTTTAATGCAGAGCCGGCATAACAGCATCTCGGTCTTAACGCTGATGCAACGTCAGATCAGTGCGGAATGCGGATGGCACTCGGCAAACTGCTCGCGCACTCCAAACGCACAGCGGGCTCGGGCTGTGTCCGACCAGCGCGGCTCTGAGCCTGGCTCCGTGCCGGATGGCAGCCGATCTCGCCCTGTCAGTCAATTCTGTCGTCCTGTCAGTCAGTCAGTCAGTCAGT